ATACATACCTATGTATGTATTTTAGGAAGCTTAGAGGCTTTGTTTAGACTCAGATAAAATTCTTGCTCTTCTCAGAGGAAAAGAAATCCATGTGCTACCAATGGGCCACTTGGTTTGAATTCCCAGGTCATCAAACTTCTGGTGCATGCTCCCTTGCAGGGATCTGCCTGACTCCACATTCACCCAGAGACTCTCTGAGCTTCAGTTTCCTCCTCTGTAACATGAAGGAGGCGGACAAGGTGATCTCTAGTCTTAGTGCCTCCCCTCTGATACTACCACCAGTTTATCCTATCTTTATCTTGTTCGTATAGAGTTGTTTGTATATTGTCTCCCCCATTAGACTATAGACTCCTCAAGGGCAACGTCTGGTTTTTGCCCTTCTTTGTAGCACTAGTGCTTAGCATAGTACCTGGCACATAGTAGGTGCTTAATAAATGCTACTTGACTGAGTGACTGCCTGGGACATTTCATACCCAAAGCATATGATCTATATGGGATTCTTTGATGTATATGATATTCTTTCATCGAAAAGAAGATCCAATTCATGATGTATCTTTCTGACAGGAGACAACATCTAATGGATGAAATATTTTTCCTGTCAAAGGAAATAGATACTAATAAGCCAGGCAGTCAAGGCAGACTTGTCTAGGGTCCTTTGACCTAAATCTTGTAAATGTAAAATCTTTGTTATAGAACCTATAAATTCTTCAGTTTATGGGGCTCCTTCATGAGAAAACTCCCTCTGTCAAAACAGACCAGCATCTTCTGTACAATGGAGGGTTTTAAATGACCTGGGCTCTGTGAGTTGTTCTTTCTTTCTTTTTCTTTTTTTATATTTTGATAAGCTGCATTTCAGTATAACTTGTTTCCTTTGTAATTCTACATATTTTATTTTGTGCATTTAAAAACATTTTTTCAGAGAAGGGGTCCATAGGCTTCAACAGACTGCCAAAAGGGTCCAGGACACAAAAAAGGGGTGAGCTCTGTCTTAGATAATTCTCTGAGAAGTTATGGACTTGCTCAGGGTCACACAACCAGTATGTACCAAATCGAGACTTGAACTCAGGTCTTTCTCTCTATCACATGATCTTATCTCCCATGGAATTGCAGATTATTAGAATTAGAAGCTGGTTTTAGAGATCAGCATGGGGTGGTAATCTTTGTCTACAAACAATGATGTCTTTACTACATAGACTTAGACCTTTACAAAATTTCCCTCTTTAAGTTCAAATTGCATAAAATTCAGTTATGCTCAGTCACATTCAACTCTTCATAAACAGATTAATTTGCAATAAAAGAAAATACAGAAAATCATCAATCAGTATGCTGTGGGTGGGGAGTAGGAATTCTCTGGTTAATTGAAGATTAAGTAGGAAATTATTTTTTGTTCCAACACTTGTTCAAAGCCTTTCAGAAACCTTGCCTGATTTAGAAAGCCCAGGGTGATGAATATATTTGAGTCTTTGCTTGTTGGGTGAAGATCCTTGTAGGTTGTAGGTTGAAGAGCTTTGCAGGATACTGGAGATATCCTGAGACTGAGCTCAGCGTGCACCCTCTCTGAAATCTGTTGTTTCTGTGTATGTTCAGTGTGACGTTAGGTTCAGGAAGCTCTGAATTCAAGTCTCACCTCCAATATATACTAACTATGTATCCCTAGGCAAATCACTTAATTGCTTAGTGCTCTAAGCAACATTTTAAGTTACAAAGCAGGTACTCATCTGCAAGGAACTGGGTTTTTATTGAGGGCTCTCTATTTCAATAAAAGCACAGGCCAATCTCTACCCTGCAATGAAATCCTTGGTATGGGTTTACTTGTTTTTGTTTTTGGTGATCTGCTTTTCTCTAGGAGTCAAATGTAGCATTAATATGCTGTTGACAATGACTTGGTCCAGCTCATTTAGAAAAGTTTTTGAAACTATGTTCCCAAAGTCACCCAAATGTTCATATCTTTTGACCGATTTATAACAATACTGGTCTTTTACTCCAAAGCATAAAGACAGAGGGAAAGGTGACTCTGTGTGTGTGTGTGTGTGTGTGTGTGTGTGTGTGTATCAAAACATTCATAGCAGTATTATTTGTTGTAGCAATAAAACTAAGCCAGAAACAAAGTGGATGTCCATTGATGGGGGAATGGATGAAGAAATTATGGTACATGAATGCTAAGCATATTATGGCACTGTAAGAAATGAAAAATATGAAGAATTCAGAGAAACTTAAGATTTGCATGAACTGATGCAAAGTAAGCAGCGGCAGGGGAATAATTTTCTTGACTACAATAATGTAAAGGAAAAAAAAACATCCTAATCCATTCAATGATAATCTTTCCTCTGGAGAACTAGTGAAGAAACATACATCCTTCTTCTTGGTAGGGAAGGTGAGCTACAGGTGCAGAATGATAACTATGTTCTTCAGACATAAACAGTGTGTTAGTTCATTTTGTTTAACTTTAATTATTTGTCACACAGGTGAGTTTGGTCAGCAGGGGATGGCGCTGGGAAATGACAATGACTTGGAAAATCACCAATAAAACACTGAGAAAATAAACATTGAGTATAACCAAGCATGTGCTGAAGCCAGCTCATACAGTCTCACTGGAGATGATCACCAAAGTTTCAGTGTGAGTATTTACATCTCAGAAGCCAGAAAACACTACAAACCAGAGTTTGAGTAAGTAGTTTTTTATCTAGACTTTAGAAAGTGATGGAGAAAGGGTTACTAATTCAGATTATGTCTAAAAGTGTGTGGTTTCCCCTCCCTTTGCTTTTCAGAGATGTGGTTGGTAAACATTTACCTGCACTATCCCTGAATACAGGTAAAGCCCTGGGTAATTTAGTGTTCTGGTCAATTGTGCTCTCACTGTACAAAATCTACCCTCCTTGGTTTTGACATCAATTGTTAGGAAATGTTTCTGGAACCCTATTTTTGAGCAACCTTAAAGAACCTTGTTAAATTTTTTCTTACTCTTGATAGCCCCAGAACCTTTGTCAATCCTAGATTCTGATGGTACAGAAACATCATTAGGATGTGAGCTTTGCTCTCTGACCTCAGACTTTAAGAAAAGCCCAGGCACCCTTGACTTACCATTGCCCTTTAACAAAAGGGATTCAGACAATGCTGCGTCTAGGCACACGTTAAAATGTGTTATTTGTTCCCATTGCTCTGAAGAACTCTTAAAAAATTGGAGAAGAGTGGCACATGATTAATAGAGAAGCAGCAGAGAGTGGAAATGAGTATTCATAAAAGCCAAGCGAGAAAGGATGGGCACATCACCAAGTGAAATTCTTTGATATCTTGAAGGTAGCATCCCACAGGTTTTATCTTTATCCTTACTTAAAACTCTGAAAATCAGAAATTTCTCTCTTTTCCCAGTTCAGGAAATCAAGGTCAGAGATCTAGGCCTGGAAGGGACCTCAGAAGTTATCTAGCTAGCCAACCCTATTTTACAGATAACAAGCCTGAGTCTCAGAGAGGTGAAGAGAATTGCCCAAAGTCACACATGCAGTAAGCGTCAGAAGCAGGATTTCAATCCATGTCCTCCGACTGCAGAACCTATTCGCTTTCCACTAGGCCACACTGTTATAAGCTGTTTACTGACATTAGTCTTCATGGTTTGTGGTTAATGAAGTCACCAGTCTTTTAGAAAAAAATTTTCATTGCCTTAGACATTTAATAGCTATGTGGCCCTAGGCAAGTCACCTGACCTCTATGCCTCACTTTCCTCATGTGTAAAATGGTGGGGGTTATTAACAGGACCCACCTCCCAGGGTTGTTGTGAGGATCAAAGGAAATAACATATGAAAAGCTTTGCAAACCTTAAAGCAATACATCGGTGCTGGGCTACTGGAGTGGAGCCCTCCCCTGTCTCCAGCAATGTGGGACCAGTTGCTGTCCATATGGATTGCTGTTCATATTCTTTGACCATTTGTCAATTGGGGAATGACTTATTGAAAATTTGAAGCAATTCCTTCTATATATTGCAAACGAGATCTTTATCAGAGAAATTTGGGTCCAAAACTATGCATATTTTTATAACACTTTGTTTTTATTTTCATTGCAGGCAAGGTGAGGAGAGAAAAGAAATACTCGTAATAAAAAAGGGGGTGAGGGGCAAGCATCTAGGTGGTGTTGTGGATAGAGCACAGGCCTGAAGTCAGGAAAACTCATCTTCCTGAGTTCAAATCTGGCCTTAGACATTTACTAGCTGTGTGACCCTGGGCAAGTCACTTAATCCTGTTTGCCTCAGTTTCCTTGTCTGTAAAATGAGCTGGAGAAGGAAATGGCAAACCACTCCAGTGTCTTTGTCAAGAAAACCCCAAAAGGGGTCATAGAGAATTGGATATGACTGAAATGACTGAACATCAACAAATTGAAAAAAATAACTGTACTTCATTATAATTTGTTTCCTTTGTATTTTATTTTATGCATTTAAAAACGTCATTCATAGAAGGGCCCTAGGTTTCATCAGACTGCCCAAGGGGTCCACAGCACAGAAAAGGTTAAGGTGCAGAGAAACACTTGTAGGGGGTGCTGTAGGGAAATTCTTATTCATTATGGATAGAGTTAGAAGGACACTGAGGTCCCTTGGCTCTGTGAAATTCTGTGAATTTGAATATAAGTTCTTTGAGGGGAGGCATGTTTTCATTATGCCTTTCTGTACCCAGCATGTAGCAAAATATCTGGTGTGTAGTAGGTGCTCAATAAACGCTTTTTGAATTGAACTCACATAGTAACTACTTAATAAATGCTTTTCATTCATTCACTCACTCACTCATTCATTCTGTGAAGTGCCATTCAGAATGGCTTTACTCTTTGCCATCTTATTTCTTAGCCCCCTCTACTCTGCCTCTGCTATCTCATCACCCTCAGCTCTGGGAGGGCAATGGGAACTGATGGACCAAAGTGAGTCTCTGAGGACGGCAGACTTCCCTTGGGATTCCCCTGGCCCCCACCTCCCTACTCTGCCTCCTCCACAATGTTGACCCCAAGGCTGAGATGCTCACCTGATAAGATAGAAGCCACAGCTGCAATGATAAAGGACACAATGACACCAGGTCCTGCCATCTCCTTTGCCACCAGCCCAGATACCACATACATGCCAGTGCCCACACAGCTGCCAACCCCAAGGGAGATGAGGTCCACCGTGGTGAGCACCTGGGCCAACTTGGTCCCATGAGATGTGGTGCTTCCAGTGCCTTCCAGCATCGACTCCACGGGCTTAGTGCGAAGGATCCTGGAGTGCAAGGCATACCAAGCAGCCCCCCACTGCACCCGCCGGGGGTCCAGAGAGGCAAAGAAGCCACTCATTGTGACGGAGAAGGATGGAGGCAGATGCCAGCTGGCTGGAGAGATTGGCGGGCTTAGTCAATGGCTCAGGAGCTTATCAACTTCAAGGGAGGAGAGACTCTCAGAAAAGATCCAGGGGGTCCCACAGCCACATGCTTTAGTCACAAGCTTCCTCCCTTCCCTGAAGCTTAGAGTCCTGTGGGAAACCCTAGAAGAAAAAGGACAAAAGAAAAGGATGAGTGAGATCTAGTGGAAACAACAATTGGGTCTGAAGAACAAAGGTATAGTGGAAGGAACAATGGGGCCAGAGGACTGTGGTTCAGTCTCAGCCCAGCCCAGGGCCATAACTAGGGTATGGCCATTGGATCTTTGCTCCTGGGCGCTGAAATTCAGAAGGCCCTGGTGATACTTACATTCATTTAGCCATACAGAAACAAATGAACTCAGCAGGTAGTTAGCAAGAATAATTAGTTAATGTTACAGACTTTGAATTAAAAAAAATATATGTATGTGTGTGTATGTGCTAAATTTAACAAGGTAATTAACAAAATTGCTCTATTTGTGTTCCCTCCTGAATCTTTTAATTGCTTTTGCTAAGAAAAAGTTTTATTTATATTCTTTTTTTCCTGTTTATTACTATCTCCAACTCATCTTCCTTTATCCCTTCAGTAGAAGCCTTCACTTGTAACAAATATGCATAATCAAATAAGACAAATGAACACACACACACACACACACACAAATGATTATTGGCTAAAACAAGGAATTAGAAGATGTTATACCTCCCCCTCCAATTCAGGTCATCCCAGCCTCTCTAGCCATGGCCTCACTGGGTCTCAGGATCTCTGCCCACAGGGGTCAGTGTCCTGGGGGTTTCTACTTCTCTTTCATGGGTGAGGTCCCAAGGTCTCTCCTCCCAGGAGTCCTCATTTCCAATGGTCTTCCCCAACCCTTTCAATTGTTTGTCTTTGATTTGATGGGATATTTTGTGTTCCTTGCCTGGGAGGTCAATGACAACTCTGATACAGCCACTAACTTACTATGGTCAAGTTGCTCATCTTCTCATCATCAGTTTTCCCCATCTATAAAATGGGTATAATAACACTTGCACTACTTATCCACCAGAAATTTGAGTTATTGTACCTGGTTGGAGAGAGTCCAGGTCTTACTTATCCTTAGGGCTATACTTATCTTACATGTAAGATAAATCTTACATCTGTGATACGGTTTTCCTATCCAAAATCCCTCACCCTCACCCTGAACTTTCAACTTAAACTTCAGATGTCTGAAATACCAAAGACATTCTAAGGGCTAATGAGATGCAGGAACACCGACTCAGGGCTCTTCTAAGTTACTTCCATCTCTGGACCTCAGTTTGCACAATTTGAGAAAGAAAGAATTGAATGAGATAAATTCTAAGGCTTCTTTCAGCTCTAAAGTGCTCTTTCTCTCTGGAAATTATCCTATGTAACTTTGTATATACATTTTATTTACTGATTTGCCAGTTAGTCAATCAATAAGCATTTATTAAGCACCTACTATGTGCTGATCAATGTACTAAGCACAGAATCGATCCGGAGGCAATCAACATAGGATAGGGACCAGCATGAAAAGGGAAGGCTTCTCAGAGGAAGTGGAATTTTAGCTGGGGTTTGGAGGAAGCCATGGAAGACAGGAGATGGGGATGAGGATGGAGAGAATCCCAGGCATGATGGACAGCTAGTGAAAACAGCTGGAGCGTTGGGAGATGGAATGTGTTGTTCTAGGAACAGCAAGGAGGTCAGTGTCACTGGATGGGGGCAGGAGAGTAAGGCATAAGAAAATTGGAAAGGTGGAGGGAGAGCCAAGTTGTGAAGCGCTCTGAACTCCAAACAGGATTTTATATCTGGTGCTGGAGGTGTGAAGAAGTTGTTAGAATTGGGGGAGGAGGGGAAAGTCGACATGGCCAGTTCTATGCTCTAGGAAGATTATTTGACAGCTGAGAGGATGGGCAGAATATAGGCTCCCTGAGGGCAAGGATGGCTTTCTTTTTATCTGCAGGGTCGAGCACACTGTCTCTTATATAACAGGCATGAAATAAATTTCTACTGAGCTGAATTAAATAAATACCATGATTAGTTTCTTGGAACAAGGGAGCATTATAAATGCACCAGTTTATCGGAAATTAATTGAGATTAGAATCAAGCATTGATTCTAGGTATATAACTGATACGATCAAGGCTTTTTCCTTTGCAATATTTTTTTTAACCATTCCTATGATTTCAAACACAAAGATCCTGGGGGCGAGGAATTTCCTCAGCCAATTCAGATGGGCATCTGTTCTACATCTTACAATCTTAGGGTGTGCCTGGGAGCACTAACTGGTTAAGTGACTTATTCAGCGTCACACAGTTAATTTGTCTCAGTGGCAGGACTTGAACCCAGGTCTCTTGATTCCAAGGGCCCATCTCTCTATCCATTATGCCAAGCTGCTTCTCTTTCAGTAAATCCCTTTGGGAGTAGTTTTGCCTTGAACTCTGCTAACACTATTAATTCAAACTACTTAGCACTTGGTACAATGATTATCAGCTTTCAGAGTATTTAGAAACACTAATTCATTAACAGAGTCAGGGGAAATGTGGCAGTTTGGTTCACAGAGGGGTAGCGTCAGTTTACTTGCTTTCACATCTCAGATAAGTTGGAATTTTGGAGCCTGAATCTTCACTGTGTGTATCTTGTCTGAACAATACCTCGATGGCACCACAAATATCTGGGAGAAAGCCTTAACTTTCAGGCTTACATCCCTGTTAGAGAAATGAGGCGGCATGGTAAAAAGAGACCCCCTACCTAGCACAGGGAGAGGTCTGAGATCTAATCTCACTTTGGGCTCTGATTAGATGCCTACAAACAGCAAATCAGAGTCTCAGTTTCTACATCTGTAAAACAGGGATGATAATACCCACCTTACAGAGTTGTTTTGAGGATTATTGTGACTAGAAAATCCACTTCATTAACATTTAGAATACAAGTTAGCAAAAGGTTTTTTTTATGTGCATTTGTTATAATGCTGGGGAGGGGATGAAGTAGTGGGGGAGGAAGCATCATTTAGGAGGCAGTCTATGTTTATGGCTATTTTCCAATAAACCACATCTCACAGGTACTTTGTCATACAGAATACACACAGCCGTGTTGATTTACAAGCCATTAGTCATTCATTTTTTTTTCCTGTGAAGGAGAGTCAGAGACTTTCTAATCTGCTAGTCTGTCACTGGCCTTGGGTCTAAGACAAGGTAGCCTCTGTTTTTGGTCACCTTAACACAAAGTACTGAGTCAAAGAAAGGTAAGATATAGGGTTATGGAGGCTTATTCTGAAACAGTATTACTCATATCAAGAAAGAGAAAAGTGTCTTTTATCTGCTACCACAAGATCAAAAAAGATAATATTTAAATTCTAATTATTATTATGATAGGATCTAGTCATTACTTCTTGATTCCTCTTCAGATTTTCTTGTATCTCTAACTTGTACAGTACTGTTCTCTTTGGAAATACTGTCCCTCTTCCCTCCCCCTTCCCCATGGATTGTTAAGTACCTTGAGACCAGAGCTCAGATAAATTCCTTTTTACTTTGTACTCCTAACAACTAGCACAGTATTTGGCATACGGTAGGTGATTAATATCAATTATTAGTACAAAATTAAAATGAATGTTTGCTGAAAATCAAATTTGTATGCTATTGGGATAAGGACTCCATAGTTGCTGAAAACTGGAAAGCAGTTTGGCAGAAACAAAGTTTAGACCAGAATCTTATATTACGTATCACAATAAACTTCAAATTGATACATGTCTTAAATGTAAAAGGTCACAGCATTTAAAAAAAATAGAGAAGAATAGAAAGTAGTTAACTTGTAAAACTATGACTGGCAGAAAATTCTCAACTAAACAGAAAAGAGAGAGAGGAGATGGCTGAAGATAAAGTAGGCAAAAATGTACAAAACAGGGAAAGAAACCCCTATAGGTATTGACTCTCTTGACCAATCTGCTTACTTGATTTTACTTACATGGAATTGAAAAATTTTTCCATGGATGAAATAAATGTATTTAGAATATGAAGAGAAGCAGTTAATTAGAGGAATGTCTTTGCAATATAACTGACTGATAAAGATCTGATATCCAACATACATAGGGAATTGATACAACTATATAAGAATAAGAACTATTCTCTAATGGATAAGGTGTTAAAAGTAACTGGGTGATTTTAAAAAGCAGAAATGAAAACTACCACTACCCTAGTAAAAATACTCCAAATCACTAATACAAATTAAAATTATTAAGGTGCAAATTAAAGCAACTCATCAGATTAGTAAAGATGATGAGATGAAAACAATTCAATGTTAACCTCAGTCTTCTTTAAGGGATCAGGTCATTAAGCAGATGGAAGAGTGCAGAGGTCAGTAAAGGAGTATCAGTGAGCATACTTAGCTAATAGTGTGTTAATGAGAGATAATTTAAAGGAAGAACTCAGGATTTGGAATGAAATCACTGTCCTTAAAGTTAAGGTGTGACCATATGGTTTCTCTGCTCAAGAAATCTCAGTGCTTCCCTGTTGCCTCCCATGATTAAAGAAAGCCTTTCACAGTCTGGCTGCATCTCTCTTTCCAGGTTGATTTAACATTACTCCCAATCACACCAAATTCCAGCCTCATTGCCTGTGAGACCAGTTAAGACCAATTAGGACCAATTACTTAAGCTATTGAGTAGTCTTCCAGTTGCCAACAAGTCCTCTCCAGCTTGGCTTTCCATAAGGCTCTTTTGGACCCTCTCTGTCCCGAAATTCTAAAGGAAACCTTCAAGTGGGTGACTTAGACTATTGTGGCAAATAGAGCTCATGTGTGTTGGAATTTCTTTCTTTCTTTTTCTTTTTTGTAAAGCAATTACATCTTATGCTTATTTACGTCTCAAGCCAGTGATTTTTTTTTTTTTTGCTTCATTGAGTTGGAGAAATTAGACTTGGGATAAATATTCAGGAAGGCAGATTGGAGGTGCGGAAGGCAGGAACCTGGATTGTT